CCGGGTTGGTCGATCGGGTCAGACTGGGTCTTGGACTGATGTTTCAGACTACGTAGTCCAGTCCAACCCGATGGTCATATATTTTTATATATATAATTTTTTAAAGTAATATATATATACACATACTCCATTTTTTTGTTTTGAGCCAAATACACATACTCCATTTATTTTCTCAAATTTTCTCTAAAATTTTTTCGTTCCAGATTCTCCCCCTTTTTCACAAAGCATGATATCATCCTTTGCTTTGTCAGTAGAGCCGTCCTTGCCATCTGTGGTAACCATCAGTGTTCTTCCTTTTCTTCCCCCATCTTGGCTTTCTCCTTTCTCCTTTCGTTGCTCTGTTCGTGAATTTCTTCGCTTCGTCTGGAGATTTCTTCATCATGTTCTGGAAATTCCTCATCCAATCCTTCTCCAAGTCTATGCGTCTTGTTTGCCTGGGATTATCTTCATTGTATTTACCATTCTCGAAGTCCTCTATGGGCATCGTTGCTAGATTTGGTCTTTGCTTTTTTTCTTCTTGTTTTTTTTTGTATTTGATTGATTCATCGATTTTGTTGCATAGATCGTTTCCTTAGGTTTTTAACCACGTTCTTGTGTTCCTAAATGGGTGTTCTATGACTTTTTTAAAGTTTTTTATTCAATTTATAAAAAATATTGGTCTCTTAGACCAGTCCACGAGTCTGGTAAATAATACCCGGTCTGGTTAGTCATCGGGTTTGCTTCGGGCCAGACCAGTCTTCGGACTGTAAAATATAGTCTGAAGCATTTTCAGACCAAACCTCGGGTTGAGTCAAAACCCGGTCTGGTCTGGTTTTTGGGCAGCCCTAATTATTTCCATGATTTAAAACATTGATAATTCAAAAATATTGTACTAATAGAAAGTTATCTAATTAGTTATTCAAAAAAAATTGAGCAAAATTGTCTTTTAATGCTAGTCAATGTAGTTCAATTAACTATCAACGTAGGTTAAACCATCACTATATGGAGTCCTTATATCATTTTTTTAAATTTCAGGGTAAATATTTTGCTAATTAAAAATTAAGAATATTATTTATACTATTAAGTACCTGGAGTGAGTGATTTAAAACTAAGACCAAATCAGATGTTGCCTGGCCACCTTACCAGCTCATGTTTTAGCTTTGGACCGTTTGAAGAGTTGGATTGGGTTGAGTAGTTCAAAACCAACTTTCGAGCAAGGATTCGAATTTGAGCTAGGAATTAGAGTCGGTTGAAGAAAACCAGACGGCTAAATAAAAATAGAAGGAGAAAAGGAGAAGGAGAAGGAAAACTGGCCGAAAAGAAGGAAAAAATGGAAAAGGAGAAAAAATACATATTTTTTAATAAAGAAAAAGAACTTACAATGGATCTATGATGAGAAAAGGACAACATTGAATGACAAGACACAGGTTGATCCCGACGACAAAAACAAAAAATGAGAAGAGAAAGAGAACAAAGCTGAATAGAGAAGATGAGGAGGCTATCTAATGGCAAAAAGAAGCATTGAAACAATGAATAGAATGAAAGAGAGCTTTTTACTTGGGAAAATAACAATTAAGGATCACTGAATAAAATTTATATAAATTAAGAGTCAATTAACTTTGAAATTGCATTAAAATCTTTTGATCATTGACTAATATTAATTTGTTATGTCAAAAGATCAAATTGCCTTTAAAGTAACAAAAAAAAAGACACCCTTACTATCACTGACACCGGCTACCAAATCGTCGCTGGACTCTCTGCTGGCGACGAGGTCACTACAGCCCTTACTATCGGTGGGGTCACTAGCAACCAATTATCGAAGCTCCAACCCCATCAACATTTTTATTCAAGAATAATTGATTTAGGTAGCCAAGAAAAGCTTGATCCCATGACCCATTGACCACTTAAAAATTTTGGTGTCCTATATATGGCAAATATATATATATATATATATAAGTAGTAAACCAAGTTTATAACCGCTTTCATGTTATAACTTGATAGTGTGTTGTTAATTCCTGAATGACATTTGCTATTTTACTAATGTTACTTATTAATATGACATGGACAATTATAAATTGAGAGTTTTAAAACTTTATGTATTTTACTTGTTAAAAGTCTAAATGTATTGTTAATCATGAGTAGGTTGTTGTCAAAACCCGAACGAATACTTGTAAATGAAAGACTGAAATGTACAATTAAGCTCATCCTATCCTTTTAGTTTTTCTAACTTGTTAAAACTCAAAAAATTATTGTTAATTGAGAATGAATTGTTGTGATAACCCAAATGCATACTTGTTGATGAAGGACTAACATTTGTACAATTAAGCTCATCTTATCCATTTTTTGAAATTGTTAACGCCCAAATGGACTGTTGTTAATTTATAATGAGTTAAAACCTAAATGGATACTTGTTGATGAAATACTAACATATACAATTATGCCCATCCTATCCATTTTTATATCTTGTTAAATCTCGAATGGACTATTATTAATTTTGAATGAGTTGTTGTTTTTAAAACCAGAATGGATACTTATTGATGAAAAACTAACACATACAATTATACCTATCATATATGTTTTTCTAGCTTGTTAAAGTCTAAATGGACAATTGTTAATTTCAAATGAATTATTATTAAAACCCAAATGAATACTTGATGTTGATGATTAAAAATACAAGTCTAATGGAATAAGTGTATAAATAATAAGCCAGTTCAGGCATTAATAAGTTAGAAAAACAAATAAGATAGGTATAATTATACAAGTTAATATTTTATCAATAAGAATCCATTTGAGTTTTAACAATAATTTATTATAAATTAACCATAGTCCATTAGGGCTTTAATAAGATAGAAAAATATATAAGATGGACTTAATTATACAAGTATTAGTCTTTCATCAACAAGTATACATTTAATTTTTCACAACAATTCATTCGAAGTTAACAACATTTATTCGGGTTTTAACAAGTTAAAAAAAACTGATAAGATGTGAGGGGCTTAATTGTACATGTTAGCTTCATTAAATTTGTAATTATCCATGTTATATTAATAAGTAATATTAGTAAAATAACAAGTGCCATTTAGGAATTGACAATACACTATTAAGTTATAACATGAAAGTGGTTAGAAGCTTGGTTTACAACTTAGACACACACACACACACACACACTTTGCCATATATAATTAAAGGACTTGGTGGCCAAATAGCCCAGAGATCATGAGATCAAACATTTTCCTTCATCACCTAAACTAATTATTCTTGAATAAAAATACAAGTCTAATGGAATAAGTGTATAAATAATAAGCCAGTTCAAACTTTAATAAGTTAGAAAAACGGATAAGATAAATATAATTGTACACGTTAATTTTTGATCAACAAACATTCATTTGAGTTTTAACAATAATTTATTTTAAATTAACAATGGTCCATAGGGCTTTAATAAGTTAGAAATATGGATAAGATGGGCTTAATTATCCAAGTGTTAGTCTTTTATCAACAAGTATATATTTAAGTTTTCACAACAATTCATTCAAAGTTTAACAATTTATTCGGATTTTAACAAGTTAGAAAAATTGATAAGATGTGAGGGGCTTAATTATATATGTTAGTCCTTCATTTAAATTTGTAATTGTCCATGTCAGATTAATAAATAATATTAGTAAAATAACAAGTATTATTTATGAATTAACAATACACTGTTAAGTTATAACATGAAAGTGGTTAGAAACTTGGTTCACACACACACACACACACACACACACACACACACACACACACACACACTCTTTGCCACACTTTGCCACACTTTGCTATATATAATTAAAGGACTTGGTGCCCAGATAGTCAAGAGGTCATGAGATCAAACATTTTCCTTAATCACCTAAACTAATTATTCTTTTATAAAAATGTTGCTAGTGCTAGAGCTCTTGTGACCAGCCATTGTCGATCTTGCTAGTGGTAGGGACCCCAACAACCTCATCGCCGGTAGGGGGTTCACCGATGGTCAGGGGGTCAGTACTAGTGATAGTAGGGGTTGACTTTTTTTTTTATTATAGGGGCAATTTAGTCTTTTGATATAACAAATTAATATCAGCTAAGGACAACGGACTACAATGTAATTTTAAAGTCAATTAATCTTTAATTAATATAAATTTTGTTTAGTGATCTTTAATTTCTATTTTTTCATTTTACTTCTCACATGTAGGTGTGATGGTGGGAGACTAAAATTTTGCCTTTGGTTAGTTTGTCAGACCACGTGTCTTCATTACCTTGTTCAAAATTCAAATTTTAAATGCAATAAATATATTATCATGGTAAATAAGTGATAAATAATTAATTGGGGAGACTTTACGTAGATATATTTACTTATTTTTATATAAAAAATAACGTTATATAAATGACTAACTTAATTAGTTGAATGTATTATTTTATTTTTAAAAAATTTAAAATTTTAATTACAATAATTTAATTATGATTAATTGAACCATACTATAAAATTGAACTATTTTTTAAGAAATTATTTCAAAATTAAATATTTTATTTCTTATAAATATTATATATGTATATAATATCATTTTATACTTAAGAATTATGTTACAGATTTGATCGTTGATTTAATTGATTAAATCATAAAAATTGTAATTTGTTAATATTTGGATTTAATGTTTGATTTGATTTTTAAAACATTTTTTGGAGGTAGAAAAGTGGACCCCAGTGAAAGTTGATAACTTTTTGGACCAGCAATGAAGATTGATATTAAATGGGTCAAATGCAGGCCCAATAAAACCTCAGTAATTCGTCTGGCAACTCAAGACACATCCACGTGGCCCAACGTGGAAGCCATTATGATTTGACAAACCAGGAAGTAGAAACATACGTGGAACGAAACCTTAGTGCCAATCAATTTATTAAAGATATATTGGGAAAGTGAAGAAAAATAATGAGAAAAAAATGAAGAGAATCTCCACCCTTTCCTATCTTCTTATTGGAAAGCAAAACAAGAATTTGGCCGTCACAATTCCCTCCACACACTTCTTTCTCTTGCCTTATCCCTTTCTTTCCCTTCATTTCCAAACAAATCCTCAGTTCATGAAACCATAATATCTCAGACTCCGTAGTACTGCTCATCAGTACTACTCACACCATGGCTCTCAAATTTGCCTTCAACTCATCAAGACCCTTCATTCCAATTTCTTCCTTATCCTCTTCTCCTGATGCCTCTGGAATCCACTTGACTCAGTTCAATGGCCACCACTTGCGCCTCCGGCGCCGCCGTGGTGTGCTCGTACTCCCCCGCAAGGCCACCGCCGACCAACAACCTTCAGGCAAGGTTGAAGAAAAAGAAAATGAAGAAGTTGTCGTTGATGGTAAAATCCTCCCTTATTGCAGCATTGACAACAAAGAGAAGAAATCAGTCGGCGAACTTGAACAAGAATTTCTCCAAGCACTGCAAGTATGCGTGTGTGTGTATATATATATGTTGGGCAAAATAATCTTCTTTTTCTTAGCTGACTATTTTTCTTAGATATTTAACTAGGTTTTAATTACAGGCATTTTACTATGAAGGGAAGGCTATTATGTCGAATGAGGAATTTGATAATCTGAAGGAAGAACTTATGTGGGAAGGAAGCAGCGTTGTCATGCTAAGTACGAAATAACTTCACCTTGATCGATGTGTGGATTCGTACTTATCTCTCGTCCATTATTACTAGTTCATTCACTACAGGTTCTGATGAACAAAAGTTTCTGGAAGCTTCTATGGCTTATGTTTCTGGAAATCCAATCATGAGTGATAAAGAGTTTGATAATTTGAAGCTGAGGCTAAAGGTTCGCTTATTGCTGTAATCATCATTTTCAACTCTGATCATCTTCTCACTGAGTAACTAAGAAGACAAAAGTATATATGAAGAGCCAACAAAAACACCAATTTAATTAAACCATATTTTGTTTTCTATGTAATTTCTAGATGGAAGGAAGTGAAATTGTTGTCGAGGGTCCACGGTGCAGCCTTCGAAGTAGAAAGGTTAGTATTGATTTGCAGTTTGTTTAGTCATTGTTGCTAATTGACTTGTTCTTGAAGTTGAGCAAGTTATTCAGATAAGTTTTGCATTACAAATATATAGTGACAATGGCAAGAGATATGTGTATATATATATATATGGCATAATTTTTAAATAGTGAAATGCTTCTTATTTGCTATAGAATTTTACTAGTAGGCTCTGATGTCAAATCTTTATTATTTCTCTCTTGATTGGCTTCATCGTTGAACAGGTTTACAGTGACTTGTATGTTGACTACTTAAAGATGCTCTTGCTGAACGTCCCAGCGACTGTCGTTGCATTAGGATTGTAAGCAACTTTCCTCTGTGTGTATGTGTGTGTGATTGTGATCATCTTTGAACAGCGTAGGTTATCATGTCCAAATATTGAAAATGTTGGCTCTTGGAAGTGCCATTGATTGGACTGTGAGTTCATATTAGTTGATTACTCATTTAATAATCATACGTGATTTTGTGACACACACACACAATTATGATTTTGGAATTTTCTAATTAGTATAATTTCCTATTTCTGTTTAAGTTGGTCCAATCACATTTATTGAAATAATTATAATTAATGATAGATTATATTTTCCTTTTTGTATTATAAGCTGGGTTTTCTTTTTTTTTTAAATAGAATATAAGCTTGCCTGTGTATAAATAGATTGAATGTAAAAACATTTACCTTTTTCTCTAGTCTGAATAATCTCATTCTTTATACATGTAACTCTAGTTTAGAAGATCGCCTTCAATAACTCAGAAGATATAATCTTTGCTGTCCACCTCTCGTCCTAAAAAAAAAATAATTGTTTGCACCTTTACAGAGGGCTGATTTTGTTGGTTAGATTTCCCCTTGTTTTTTTCTTCTTCCAGTTTCTCACATTTCTTTGTGCTTAAAAACAAAAAAAAAAGTTTTCTAATATTTCGGCCAACTTCATGAGTTTAGTCTTTAATTTGAAATTTGATCTTTTTAGTTTATGTTTTTTATTTTCAATTTTATGACCAAATCAAATTGATAATGCTCACCCCTAATAAATAAATAAGAGAATATAATTTCTCCTAAATAAAGTATAGAAAATTTTAATGAATATAAATAGGAAAATATATATATATAAATGTGATAGATAGCTAATATCGATCTAAATAAAATAGAAAACCCTAAATCAACATTGATCACATTATATTTAATTATACTAACAATAGAAATGTTTACATTATAATTAACTAACATTTAGTTATTTACACCAGTAATTGGACTAGCATTTGTAGAAAACGCAATGTTGTTTTATTCACTTAAGATACATATCACTTGTCAGCTTAAGTATGCATAGTTGTGGTTACAAATACAATAGAAGAAAAACTTGACATGTTTTTATGTTGAATCTGGCGGGGTCTTGCAAGTTGCAAATTGCAATAAGTTGTGAGACTAGAATGTCGAACGTCGAATGTGCTAAATTCTACTATCTCCGATTTAAAATATAAGTGTTTTTTTAATAAGGGATATTTTTTATTTCATTTTATCTTTTTAAAAGTTCGAAGTAGTACTTATCAAAAAATTTTCTATTATACCCTTATTTACTCTAAAATTTCAAAACAATATTGATTATGTTTTTAAGGTAAATTTGACAATGTGGCTAATATTCTTATATGTCAAGTACACTTCTTAATCTATGCAAATACTTTTAAAAAAATATATACCCCCTTTTCTTATATATAAAATATTTTTTAAAAGCTTATTTTATCTCTAAATATATAGGGTGTTATAATATTTTGGAATAAATAAATAATTTTGTCTTGTCTTAAAAATAGAGGAGACATTACTTGTGTGTTGTGCTTATTATCATCATGATATTAATCGTGATATCAAAACTATAAAATTATTGTGATTTTATATGATTTCAGCTAAATGAACTTTTATTGGTATATACAAAAATTAGTTAAAAACACTCTATATATAAAAACAGATAGAGTATTTTGAAACAGAGAAACAATAAATTTGTAAAATTTTGTGTTATAACTAGCAGTATTTACTTTTCTTGACCTGAGTTCATTGTGAGTTCTTATGATATAGATTTTACTGTTTGCTTGAGTTAGGTCATGACTTCTTCATCCTCTTTCATTCATTTCTCTATTTCTTAGGTTCTTCTTCGTTGATGATCTGACTGGATTTGTGATCTCGATCTGATAGCGGTATGCTCTCATTTTCCCCCTTCTTTTTTGCATGTGGTTTGATTCCATAACATCATCAGTCTCAAGCAGTAGTTGCATTTAAGGTCCTTTTATATATATTTGGTTTCCTTCTTCAGCGTCAAGAAACTTACATAGTTTTGAATTGTTCGGTGCAGATTCCAGAGCCTTTCAGCTTCATTCTTACTTGGTTTGCTGCTGTTCCCTTCATTCTGTGGCTAGCTCAGGTTCTCACCAATGCAATTGTAAAAGACTTCCTGATTTTGAAGGTATGAAATTTAGTAGTTAATTATATGATAATGTTTTCTTTTAGGCTGTATTGATTAAGTACAAAGTACTGAGTACAGATTAATTATTCACTTATATATATGTATATAGGGCCCTTGTCCAAACTGTGGTGCAGAAAACACCTCCTTCTTTGGGACCATATTGTCAATTTCAAGTGGAGGCTCTCCAACACTGTGAAATGCACCAAGTATAAAACTTTCCCTTAATTAACTGACCACAAATTCTGGTGTTGGTTTGATTTAATTGATGGTAGAGAATATTTTAACCATTGAAAGGAATTTGTCTCAGCTGTGACACCCAAATGTTGTATGATTCTAGCACAAGATTGATTACATTACCAGAAGGAAGTAATGCCTGAGCAGAGGTACGTTACTGATATATACTTAATTGACTAATTTCTCTGCTAATTAAATCTATCAGCTTTGATCAAATTAATGATTGTAATTAACCCTTCAAATACAATGATGACATTAACTATAAAATGCTAAATGGATGAACTTATGACAAGATCTGATAGTAATAAACTAATAGTATCATGCGTTTCATTTCAACATATTGAAAGGTGGTTTATTAGTTTCAGATGCAACATAAAGTACTGTCAAACATGTGGTTCGTTCAACTAATGAGAGAATTTTATGAGGTTAACTAAATTTTTTAGTACAAATTTAAGAAGTGTTTGAAAACCAAGTTTTTAGCGGTTAACTAAATTTTTTGAGTTCAAATTTAAGGTGTGTTTGAATAACCAATTTTTAACTTCTAAAAAGTATTTTACAACTTTAAAAGTCAAAAGTTGTTTGAGTAATTTTTTTTTTATTGAAATCACATTTCAAAAGCAATATAAAAAAGTGGGTGAAAGTAAATTGGGGCAGCACTTTTGAAATGTACATTTGGAGTTGGGGTATCAATGAAGGAGTTAAAATATGCACCTATTTTGATTTTATTGTTACCCTTACATTTCAATTCTTTTCATTTAATTTTTAATCTAATATATATAACTATTTATAGAATTTTTGTCCAATATATCAAACTTTGTATTTTTTATCCTTACTATTTAACATATCAAATTTCATGTTATTTAAAATTATTATTACATATATTTTCAAACATTTCTAATATGCAATCTTTGAAGAACAGAAATTACAAATCATTAAAAATCAATATTTATTTTGATTGTTGTATATTCAAAAACACTTTCCATTATCTATGAGCAAAATAAATTTAATTTATTAAATTAATTTTTAACTAGAAGTATCTAAACCACAAATTTTATTATGACAACTAATTTTTTAGTAAATTAATTTTTAACTAATAAAAAAAAAACCAAACACATTTAATGCACTGGTTCAATGTCTGTTGAGTTTTGACTATCAATACGGATCCATCCATTTTAGTGAATAAGTTGTGAACAGAAAAACAAAACCGTGGATTGCTTCTCCACGGCAATTTGACTCCAACGCTATGCAAAAATAAATAAATATTTGCCAAATGCTGTACATTGGAAAATATTTCTCCAAATTCTATAAATATGAAACTCGGTTTGTGTCAAACCGATATCTAATTTTTTTTTTTCCAAACCTACCAGTAACAAAACTTGACTTCTATAAGACCAAGTTCTACTTAAATTTTTTTTAAAAAAATTGTGACAGGCATAATGAGGATGCCTGCCGCCCATGCGTCATCTCACTTCCCCTATCTTTTCCCTTCTCTTCTCCTTCCACCCTCCATCCTTGTGTCGTGTGTGCTAGTGAAATGTGAGCGTATATTCATTTTAAAAAATGTTTGCATTTTATATGTAGAATAAACATATGATTATAATTATAAAAATTATAAAATAACTGTTTTATTATATAATATAAGATTTTACAAATTTGAATAAATATGAATCCATATTTACTAGTTTTATATTATTTAAATAAATGTTTTTATTTTAAAAAAACTCCAATAGGGGCATGAAACTTTAAAAGATAAGCATATCATTATAAAAAAAATTATTTAAACTAGTATCTCGCCCCATGTGATGCACGGAAAAGATATCTTAAAATTAGATTAGTTGAATATTTGTTTAAAGTTTCGTCTTAATAATAAAGTGAAGTAAAATATGGAGCATATGATGATGATGATAGGCCAATTAAATGAAAATTAAACCATCCCAACAATATGTTGCATATAAATAAAAGTAAAAACTTAATCTGAGAGTGATGAGGTCAATAATATTCATTGAAATAGTTATGGGTGACAAAGAAAATGAAATGAATAAAAGACGTAGAGTCGTACTGTTGTATCTTTCGTGTATCAAATCAAGTCAACTCTCGATCATTTTAAAAAACATGAATGTTCTTATATAATTAGCAAGTTTGGTGTGGAAGAAAAATTCGGTTCTTTGGAAAATAAAAGACAAATGTAAAGAACCAAATAAAACCTAGAAAGTAAATATTGCAAAAAGGGTACATTGTTGCAACAGACATGTAAACGTGAGGCATCGCTTTTTCATATCGGACATGGCATGGGAGTTCTGGTAAAAAAACAAAAAAGGGGCCATTTTTTGAATTTACTGTTCAAGTATTGTTCATGGTCCGCCAACTCTTAGATATAAGATTGATAATTATAAACAAGGAAAAAAAGACTTAATGCCAAACAACAGTTCATGCTCAAAAAGGTTTGAAAACAAACTAATAAATATTAATTTATAGGTATAAATGAATAATCTAATCAAATTTTAAATATTAGTTAACTTAACTATTTCTTGGCATGTACAAAATTTGATAATTTTTATGATTAGGAACAAATGAATTATTGTTTATAAAGATTTGTACCATATAAATTATTTTAAGGGACTAAAATAAACTTTTATGCAAAGCTAAAGAACTAAAAAGATATTTTTATTCAAAAATTTAAATAGAGAGAAAATTAAGAGGAAATCTTAAAATAAAAAATTTGTACTTCCTTCATTAAAAAATGTAAGGTATTTTTAACTGAATCTTACCCCCAATAAAGTAGTTACCTGCTTTTCAACTAATCCCATCTTTTCATATTACCTCTATTAAATACCCTACAATAAAATAAAGTCATTATCAATAGGAGTATTTTTTTTAAAAAAGCAATGATACACCTAAAAAACTAAAAAATGTCTTATATTTTTTTAATGGAGGGAGTACATGCCAAGCAAGAAAATAGTTAAATAAATAATATTTATAAATTTTTATCAGATTATTCATTTATACCCTATATTAATAATTGTTATTTTAGTTTTTAAACTTTTTGAGTAAAAACCGGTTGTTGGTAAGTCTTTTTATTCTTGTTTGTAATCATTAAAATAAATTTTTTTTTAAATAATATGTTTATCTTTTTAAGTTTCATGCAATTATTGAAAATTTTTAAAATAAAATACTCCTTCCGTTAAAAAATGTAAAACATTTTTTAAAGAGTTAGATGTTCAAAAATATAAGACAGTTTTAGTTTTTCAAGGGTGTAATTATTACCTTTTTTTTAAAAGTGCCCTATTGATAAATGACTTATACTTATTATAGGATGTTTAATATGAGTAAATATAGAAAGATGGATTAGTTTGAAAGTAGTTAATTATTTTATTGGGGGTGAGATTCTATTAAAATGCCTTATATTTTT